TTTTTTTTTTTTTTGCGGAACTGGGGATTGAACTCAGGCACTTGAGCTTGCCAGGCAAGCACTTATTCTACTGAGCCATCTCCCCGGCCCCCTTTTCTGCTTTTTAAAACACTACTTTGATTTTTATTGAGTGCTCATATTACAGAGCATCAAGCAACAGATGATCATGTATGACTCACACAGAAAATCCTCTTGTTTTTATGCAGATAACAGGTTTTATACAGCAAGGAAACACTTTAAGATTTGAATACAAAATAGTTTCCATGTACCTCTGGCATGCCTTGGGGTGAGAAAGCGTTATACGGTGGCACAATATTTGTAACATTCTCATATCCTTCTGGTGGCGGTTCAAGGTAGGACGTTTTGAAAATCTAGCAAGAGTTAAAATGTAAGTTGGAGAGGATAACTCGAGATGGTTATTAATGTGTAATGTACTTTGTCCCCAAGCACACACTAAAGATTCCGCATACTGAAACTAGTTTCTGGAATTGAATAGCAAAATTCTGCTCTCAACAGTGAGAACGAGTTTTGTTATTATAAAATAACAGCAACGCCTACAAACACATGTGATCCTGTGTAACTAAATGTTCTCTTAAAAAGTATAAAAATAGAGCTTAAGAGGCACTGGCAGGCTGGAAGTGTAGCTCAGTGAGGGCCCTGTGCTCCATCCTCAGCACCACACACACATATGCTAACACACACAACGCATACATGCACACACACGCACGCATGCACATACATGCACATACATGCACACACCCACACACATACTGTTGGCAAAAGTGGCACTCTTATGTTTCTCTTGCTTCTCCTTCGCGAGCCACTTTTGTCTTCATTTTAAGTTTCCTGGTTTTTATCCTTAGGTGACTGTGTGCCCATTCTGTATCCCTGCCCTGCAACATTTCATTGTCTATGAAAACTTTGCCAGTTTCCTACACATATATTCAATAGCCTGATGATTATTTAGCGCTGATTTCCAGGTGCAACATGTTAAAATTTCTTTCCCCACCCTTAGGCTTGCTACCCATTCTACCCCCGTTCTCCCCATTCCCAGTCGGTCAGCCACGCTCATCAAGCGCTCTAGGTGTCCGACACAGGTTTCCTTCTAGGTCCCTACTGAAGCCTCCTGTGCGCTTGCTGTTCCCCACATTCATCTCTTTCCCTTATTCCTGCAAACATCCTAGCTCGAGACTTCATCAGCTTTGATGTAGCTATTAAGATTCTTAACTGCAACTCATGACCTCATGAGACATAACCTGCAGACTGCCCAATGTACCTAAAGTGCCCCTCTAGCTCATCCTTCCCCTGCTTAGGATTTGTCATCTGGACTCAGGAACAAAAGCTAAAGCTGAAGCTCCCTGGGACAAACCCTTTTAATTTGTCTCCAGACCTACCTACTGGCTTATCTCTTACCACACCCCAGTCTGTATTTAACACTCTCGAACATCAGAAAATTTTGGAATTGTATCAATAATGCTAAGCCAGTACATGTTGCCAAGCGTGAGCCAGTATTTTCCTCTGCTAGAATCCTCCTACCTTGCATTTCCATGTGGTGAACCCCTGTGCTTTTGCATGACCTATACATCAACTCTCTCAAGGGGACTCCTTTCTCTAACTCCCAGCCTGAGCTGAATGACTGACCCACTTCTGCGTGGTTAGAAAGTCCTAATCATACACTTCAGAGGACTCACCATTCTGATTTGAAATAATGTACCCCACTTTCTACATCACCTAACTCACACAAAGGTATCATATCCACAACTTCATTCTGACCTGAGGACCTGCCACCATGCCTAGCACAGCAGAAACTAAATAGCTTGCAATTTATTAACATTTATGAAGTATGTGAATTTCAGGGCACAATTAACAAATTCTGTTCTTGCTCAACCCTATATTCCAGCCCATATAAAAGCCTGGGGTCATAAAATACCAAAGTGCCAACAGTCCGTATCACCTCAGCTCCATGTTCATCCAGAACAGATACGTAGTTAGCATGTGTTTCATTAGGGTATGACAAGAGAACGTCATAATGAACCAAGTCAGCTGAATCTAGTCCAAATTTTTTCCACTGGGTTTGGATTCTTTTGGCAAGCAGTAAGTTTTGTTCTGTTCCTGCCAAATGAGGCAGTTCCGTAAAAGAACTAAAATGAGACAAGAACAAAAGCAAGTCGAAGTTAAAGAGCACAGTCACACAATGTATGTAAAACTAATAGATGTATCCCCAGATTTAGGCAGTATGCTAGCAGTTTGACATGATCTATATATATTAAAGTAGCCAGAGAAACTGACTTTTAGATAGACCTTTACATAATTTCTGTCTAACTATAGTTTTCATATAATGCCCCCTTAGTCCGGGGAGATGGCTCAGTAGAATAAGCACTTCCCTGGCAAGTGCAAGGGCCTGAGTTCAATACCCAGTTTAAAAAA